ACACGGATGGCCACATGAACTGGGACATCAACAATGCCACCACCTGTGCCACCACAGTGCCACCGGTGCTGTCATTTCAGCCCTGGCCAAACGCTGTCCAATGCAGTTCCTGCCACCCTGTCTCCACTGTCATCACCGCAGTGTCCCAGCCCAATGTCACCCCCCTAGCAGGGCAGGACGGGGACCTTGTTCAGCTGGTGACAAGGGGCCCAGAAGCAAGTGACAGCCACCAGGGTGTCCCAAGGCCATGGTGCTCTGGGGACCCCAACCAGCCCTGGAGACAGGCTGGGGAAAGGGCAAGGGTCAGTGTCACCCAAAGGGTCATGTGGCCCCATGCTGCGTGCCACCAGAGGCATCCTGGTGGCAGCGTCCCCACAGGTGTGGCAACATTGTCCCCTGCTGAGTGTTCTGGTGGCATCATGTCCCCTCCCCTTCATATGTCCCTATCCCCCGCTGTGGCTCCCTGTGACCCCTCTGTGCATCCCTGTCCTGCCCCGTGTGTCCCTGTCTCCCATGTGAGTGCCTGTCCCCATCTCCCCTATGTGTCCCTGTCCCCTTCTGTGTGTCTCCCTCCCTCCTCTGATGTCTATGTCCCCTGCCCACAGCAGGTTCAAATTCTCTGATGTCCCGGGGCTGTGTCCTTCAGGGTGTCCCTGTGTCTCACAGATCCCGTGTCCCTCAAGGTGTCCCTCAGGATGTTCCCGTGGCTGCTCCTGGCGCTGAGCATCTGTGCCCATCCTGGCACAGGTAGGGACACGCCACAAAAACCTGTGGCATCCCACGACACACTTTGTCCTCTGATTTTCCGTCCTTCCCCTCCATTTTGGGTCCATTCCCCCTGTTTTGGCTCCACATCAAACCACCCCAAAGTCCCCCAAAATTTCCAAAAATGGGAATCCCCTGCAACAGGTCCCACTTGGTGGCCAGGACTGAAGAACCCAAAACCATTAAAAATTCATCAGGGATCCCAAAAATCCATGTTGAGGACAATCCTGGGGTGTCGCCCCCCCCCCCGCCCTGCTCCCTCCTGGTATTTCTCGTGTCCCCTTCTGCCTTGGGGACATTTGGTGATGCCCCTCCTGACCTTCCTGCGGTGTCCCCCATTTCTCTCCATCCTTGGGGACATCCTGGCGTGTCCCTTAATGAGCTGGGGACTGTTTCGGGGTGTTCCCCCTCCCTGCCTAGTGTGACCCCCTCACCCTCCCTGCCTTGGGGACATTTGGGAACACCCCCCTTACCCAGGTGTCACTTCTGGGGATCCCCGGCAAGCTGCACAGCCACGGCCAGGCTGATGTCGAGGAGCAGCTGGTGACAAGGACGGTGTACAGCAGGGGAACGGCCATGGTGTCACCTCCCCCACCTGGGCAAAGGCTCTTAATGGGATCAGCACTCACGTGGCACCAGTACTGGGGCCAGGATGGGGGAGGACAAAAGGGGGTGACACCCCGGAATGTCCCCAGAGTGGGGGGGGAGAAGAAAGAGGCAACTCCCTATTGTCTGCCCCAGGAGGTGTTGGAGATTTGGGGACATTCCTGGGGACAGCACAAATTGTGTAGTTGGCCTCGCCCCTTTCACCTGGGAACCTTAAATCTGCCCACCCTTCCTATGTCAGGGGATTTTGGGGGCCCCAAATTTTGAACTCCTCCGTCACCTGAGGATCCTATTCCATTCCGCTCCACCCTCAGCTTATCCAGGGGATTTTGGGGACTCTAAATTTCCCCTTCTCCTCATGTGAGCATCCCAAATCTGGCCCTTTCCCAGTCCAGGGCACTCTGGGACCCCAGATCTTCCCCTCACCAAGTGGCCAGCACAAGCGCCGAGCTCCAGGACTGGACACCAGAACCCCCCGGACCAGGCTCCAAGCTCCAGGACCGAGCACCAGGAACCCACCAAGGACCCCCAGAAAAGGCTCCAAGCTCTGGTACTGAGCACCTGGGACTCCCCAGACCGACTGGAAACCTCTCGGGCTCACTCCAAGCATCAACACTGGACCCCAGACTCACGAGGGACCCCTGCCCTGGGCTTTGTGCTCTGGCACTGAGCACCAAAGACCCCCAGGATCCCCCTGGGACTCCCCCCACGACTCCAGGATGTCCCCCCCTGGGTCCTGCACCCTGGTTCTGGCAGGTACCGACCCCTGAAGGGGAGGTCTCCATGCCCACCCCTACGTCAAAGTCCTCCCCGGGGAGGGGAATTTGGGATCCCCAGAGTCCCCTTCAGAGCGGGGAGGGGAAGGTTTGGGGTCCCCAGAGACCCCTGGCAAGGGTGAATTGGGGGTCCTGGGTGGATTTTGAGGGTCCTAAGTGTTTTTGGAGGTGGGATCCCAAAACTTCGGAGGGGGTCCCGAAGACCCAAGTGGGTAATTGAGCCCCGAAGCAATTCCCTGGAGCTGGGGGGGAGGGTAGGACCTGAAATTAGGGGGCATCCCCATGCCCATCCATGGGGGGGGTCATGGGGCTTCATGGAATGCACCATGCAAGAACCACTGAGTCATTTGCATAGCTCCGCCCACCCCCTCCAGTAAACCACAGCAGAGAATGGATTATTTTTGAATAACCACGCCCACAGAAGTCCAAAACTCCTGTGAAATGAAACCTTTGCAAACCCGTGCCCACAACTGCAAACAAAGTCTTTCTTCAGGTCACACTGGGAGAGGTGTCCCTCTTGTCATTTTATGGAGACTTCTCCACAAGAAAGCAGGTCTCTCGTGGCTTTTAATTTCCACGAATAGCAGCCGCCTGGGAATCAGCAATCGTGAAGTCCTTCCCATCTTTCACAGCTTTCCCACAGCTGTGTTTATGGGCCATGTCAATTTATTGGGTACTATTTGAAGGGTGAGCTGTTGAAGAGCAGAGGTTCTCTCTATCTGTCTCTGAGATCATCTTCATCTCTGGGAACAGAGGTCTTCTTCTTTCCCTGGGGGCAAAGGCTCTTCATCACCCTTCACTCTCTTTGTTCAAACTTCTCATGCTATCACAGCTATTTCAACACTCGCTTCCTTTAGCATAAATGCATAGGATTGTTCTGCTGCCAGGGGCCATGCTGGGCTGGGAGATGGAGCAGGAGAGAGAGGAAAGGGGCAGTGACTTCCTCCTCACCTGCCTGGGGCTCCTGGGCCATTTTCCTCTTCCTTGCTGCCTCCTCCTCCTCCATTGGACCAAGGTTTGGGAATGGCAAATCCTACTTTGGGGGAAAACAAAGGCTGAGCACATTGGGTTTGATGGTCTCGCTGCCCAAGTGCAGCTGGAGAAGTCAGTGCCCCTTTCAGCCTCGGGGTCCCAGAGCCCACTCATCTCCAGCCTCCCCCATTCCTCCAGGCTGCTGGAGGTCCCCCAGCTCCAGGATCGCCCCTCTGCGCTGTCCCTACTTCAGGGCTCCCACATTCCACCCTGGCTCTCCTGGGGATCCCCAAACCCTAGATTGCCCCTTTGCCTGCCGGTACCGGATGATCACCACATGGGACACCCCAAGATCCCTTTTTTTCTGTCTCATCTTTGGAGTTCTGCAAGATCCAAACATCTCCTGCCCTGCCAAAAAACCCTCCCTGAGACCGCCCCCCCCAGTGGATTTGGGCGAGGTCCCTCTCCTTGCTCACCTGCGGTTCCGGGGCAGGGTGGTGGGGCCATGGTGTCAGAGGGAAGCTGTGGCCTGAGCAGGGATGTGGATGAACTGCATGGTTCTGCTGCTGCTCTTCCTCCTACTCTATCTCTTCCTCCTGTTCCTCCCAGTCCTTTTTCCCATTTCACTTTCCTCTTCCTCCTCCTTCCTTCCTCTTCTTCCTGCTCCTTTTCCCCTCCTGCTCCTTCCCTGCTCCCAGCCCGGCCCAGGCTAGTGCCAGCATGCAAAAGCAGCCATGCTCTGCCCTGGGGGAGGTTCCAAAGCAACCACAGCCTGTGCGGCACTGGGAGCAATAGTGAGTGTACCAGGGGCGATCCTGAAAGCACTGTGAAGGAACTGGGAGCGCTTTCCTTCCCAGTAGCGCTTTTACTGGGAGCACTGGGAGGAAACAGCGCCTGGACCCAGCTACAGACGGTGCTGGGCGTGGCCAGACCGAAGGGCGTGGTTATGCAAATATAGGGAAAATAGTGCACGGCGATTGGGTGGCGTTGTGGAGAGCCCTGCGCAGTCGGTTGCGTGCAATTGTGACCTTGGTTATTGAAATGTTTTGTTTTGCGTGAGCTTTGGAATCCTGTGAGCACAACTGTGCAGATGAAATTCCGTCCTCTGATGGTTTTTTGGCGGGGTGGGCGGGGTTATGCAAATAACTCCACGGTTCTTGCGTGGTGCTTTGGTGGGAGGCTGCGTGAGCACCCCCATGGATGGGTCGGTGGCTTGAGGATCTGCCCCAATTTCGGGTCCTCTCCGCCCCCAAAGCCCCAGGAAATCGCTCCAGGGCTCAAGTGCCCACCTGGGGCTCAGGGACACACCTGAAGTTTTTGGAACCCCCCCAAAATTTTGGGATGCCACCCCCAAAAACCCTCAGGACCCTCGAAATCCACCCAGGACCCTCCAGTTCACCCTTGTCAGGGGTCTATAGGGACCCCGAACCTTCTCCCCACCCTGTGGGGTCTCTTGGGGACCCCAAATTTCCCTCCCTGAGGATAATTTTGGGGGTAGGGGTGAGCGTAGGGATCCCCCCACAGGGCTTGGTACCTGCCAGGGCCAGGCGTGGGGCACAGGTGGGACATCCCGAGGCCATGGGGGGAGTCCCAGGGGGAACTGGGGGTCCTCGGTGCTCAGTACCGGAGCTCAGAGCCCGGTCTGCGTGGTCCTGGTGTCCGGTCCCGGAGCTCTGGCTGCAAGGGGAGGGAAAGATTTGGGGTCCCCAGAGTTCTGTGGGGTAGGGAAAGGGCAGATTTGGGATCTTCAGGTGAGGGAGGGTGAAATTTTGGGGTCCCCAAAGTCCACTGAGATGGGAAGGAGGGGTAGATTTAGGGTCCCCAGGTGAAAGGGGTGGGGGGGCAACCCCACACTGTGTTGTCCACAGGAATGTCCCCAAATCTCTGCCACCCCTGGAGGCAGCTAACGGGGGATTCCCCCTTCGTGCTCCCCACGTTGGGGGCATCTCAGGGTGTCACCTCTGTTTGTTCCCCCCTGTCCTGACCATAATCCTGATGCCACATGAGCGCTGATCACGTTAAGAGCCTTTGCCCGCGGTGGAGGAGGTGACACTATGGCCACACCCCAGGGCCACACTGTCCTTGTCACCAGCTGCTGCTCCGGCATCAGCCTGGCCGTGGCTGTGCAGCTCACCAGGGACCCCCAGAAGCGATACCTGGGTAAGGGGGGTGTTTCCAAATGTCCCCAAATCGAGGAGGGCGAGGGGGGACATCCTGGGATTGTTCCCACCTCGTTAAGGGACACCCTGGGATGTGAAGAACATGGAAGGGTGAGGGGGGCTGTCCCCAAATTTTGCTCCCAACACAGGAGAGAAAGGGCAGACACCATAAAAGGAGAGGGGGGACCGGAATTGTCCCCAGCATGGGAGGGAAAGGGAGGACACTCCGGGAGGGTGATGGGGGTGTCCCCAAATGTCCCCAAGGCAGGAGGGAACACAGGAAATACCGGGAGGGGAGAGGGCGGACACCCTGGTATTGTCCCCACGGTAGGATTTTGGAATCCCTGACGGGTTTTTGGGATCCCTGATTATTTTTTTGGGTCTCTGACTGATTTTTGGTGTTGCAGTCCTGGCCACCTGTTGTGGCAGGGGTCGCTGGAGGCGGTGGCTGGGGACACCCTGCGGATCCTGCGGCTTGATGTCACCAGCTCCGTGGCCAAGTGCCTGAGGCAGGGGTCCCGGGGGGGGACGACATGTGGCTGTAATGGATGAACATTTTAAGGGATCTTGATGGCTTTTGGGGTGATTTTCAGGGATTTTGTGGTGCACCAGTGACAGCTCTGTGGCCAAGTGCCTGTGGGGAGTCCAGGGGGGTGGACATTGTGGGTGAGGATTTTGGGGGGATTTTGGGGTGGTTTGATCTGGGACCCAAAACAGGGGGAGTGGACACAAAATGGATGGGGATGGACCCAAAATCAGAGGAGAAAGGGTGTGGTGGAACGTTGTGGGATGTCATGGGGTGTCACAGGGTGTCGTGGCATGTCCCTGCCTGTGCTGGGGCTGGCGCAGACTCTCAGTGCCAGGAGCAGCCGTGGGAACATCCTGAGGGACACGGGGACACCTTGAGGCATGATGGAGAAGGAAGACTTGCACACCAGATGATGAACAACAAGTCTCAAAAGTTTATTGAATACGCACACACATTTATAGCAGTGTTAATAAGGGCTAATGCATATTGCAAAAATTGAGCTCATCATTGGTTAGTCATTTATCAGTCAACTACGTCTACGTTTACATTCTTGTGTTCACCTTGTTATGGTTTCTCCTATGGTTCCTTCATTCTTGCTAGCTAACAAACCTCTCCCACAACCTCAAGTTTTGGCAAGGGCACAGTGACCTTGCCGCTTTTATCCTCGTCTCCTTCTTGCTTCCAGCATGATCTTTGTTAGCTAGCTAACTGTCTACAAAATCCTCTACAGAGGCACACGGTGACACCCTGTAGGACACGGCCTCGGGACCTCTGGGACTTGAGCCCCACAGGGGGCAGGGGACAGGAACATCGTGGAAGGGACTGGGACACAGAGAAGGGGACAGGCACACACAGAGAGGTGACGGGGAGCCATGGCAGGGAATGGGGACACGATGCCACCAGGACACACATCAGAGGACAATGTCACCACATCTGTGGGGACATTGCCACCAGGACACCTCTGGTGACACCCAGCATAGGGCCATGTGACCCCCCCCCAGCTGACACTATGTCCTGTGTAATTTTGTTAATTGCTCCCAAATCTTGTACTAATTGATAACTTTTGCCATCTGCTTTTTTAACAGCTAAGATGGGGTTGTTGTATTTGGACTCACACTGCACTAGTAACCCATGCTGAAGGAGTTTTTCAGTTACAGATACTAATCCCTTAAGGTTTTCTAATTTCGAAGGGTATTGTTTTTGCCTTATCGGTGTGGCTCCTGGTCTGAGTGCAATACTCACTGATTCTGCTCGTTTGGATCTTCCTGGGCTATCACTGGCCCACACTATTGGATTTACCACATTGTCAACTTCATTGGGAATTTCACCACATTTTTCTTGTATAAAAAGTGCAGCAAGCTGGATAAATTTAGATTCAGGAATTACAACTCTTCTCATTTTTAAATGTAATTTCTGCTTCAAATTTTTCTAGTAAACCCCTTCTCAGCAATGGTTTGGGGGAGTTAGGCATATAGAGGAATTGATGGGTTACCCAGTGCTTTCCCAGTTTAAATTTTAAAGGTTGGAAGAAACGCCACGTTTTGCTTACTCCAGTCACACCAACAATATGTGCAGTATCGTGACTCAGTTTCCCTTCTTGTAGAGGATTTTGTGGACAGTTGGCTAGCTGACAAAGGTCAATGTGCCCTTGCTGCAACATGAGTTTGGGGGCGAGGATCGTTAGATAGAAAAATGAAGAAAAGATAAGAAAAGCTACAACAGAATAACCACAAGAATGCAGAAGTAGGCGTAGTTAGCTGATAAGTAACTAACCACTAATGAGCTCGCCTTTTGCAATATGCATTAGCCTCATTAACACCCATATAACTATGTGTGCCTATCAATAAACTTCAGAGATTTGCTGATCACTCATAATTGCGACCTGCATTTCTCCCACCGATCCCAACACCTTCTAAGTTATTTAACATAGAACATGCCACTTCAGTATCTACTAAAAATTCAATGTCATCTTTCCCCAGCTTCGCTGTAACCAAAGGCTCCACTGAGGGGCTAGCCTTTGGTCCACATCACTTTGAACTTGACCTACTAGAACTCTGTACTACTGGGAGCTGGGGAACTGAGGACTTTTCTTTCAATGCTGGACAGTCATTCTTCCAGTGTCCCCTTTTTTACAGTAAACAAACTGATCTTTCTCTGTAGGGGATGTTTTCTTGGGTAACTTTTCCTGAGTTGCTTTCTTACTAGGTTGGGATTCAACTCTTTCAGTTGGGCCCCTGTCTCAAAACACCTTCCAGGCCACCTCTACCAATTTATCTATGTGTTGAACTCCCTCTATCTTTTGCAGCTTTCTTCTTATATCATTTGTAGCTTGAGCTGTAAATAAGAGAGCTAGATGTGCTTTACCATCAGCTGATTCAGGATCTACATCTGCATATTTGATGGCACTTTCTCTTAATCTTTTTAAAAAATCAGTGGGTGGTTCATCATAATTTTGCCTTACTTTGTAAGTCTTTGACCAATTTATAGCTTTAGGGACACCCTGTTTTAACCCATATACCACAAGATTTTGATATTGTTTTAACCTTGCCATATGTTCTGGTATGTTTAGATGCCAACCTGGATTTTCCAGGAGAAATATCTGTGTAACGGTGCCTTGAAGCAACCCATTTGCTATGCTAGCCTCTACTGATGTAATTGTTTCATCGACCATTCATCTCTCAGTGGGATCAAGTAATGCATCTGACATAGAGTTCAAATCAGCCCAGTCAGGGTTTTGTGAGTTAATTGCCCTTTCTACTAATTTTGCCACCTTAATCTGGATTCTTTTTTATATTGCAAAACTGGCTCTTTACCTTTTTTCTTTTCTTCTTTAGTACGTTTCGCTATGGGGGTGCGTTCTTTAATGGCCTTTTTAGCTATCCTTCCCCTCCTTTGCTTGCTCGGGACAGCAACAATCTCATTCTCCTCCTCCTCGGAGTTACTTGAGCAGGAGCTGTCTGACTCTTGACTCTGCTGGAGTAGTGCATCTCAATTCAGTCTAGTTACAATCCCAATTCTAGCAAGCGCTGAGCATGACTTACACCGCGGTGGGAGCCGGGCTGTGTGCCCGCTGGCTTGGAAGATGTCTGTTGAGGCGAACACCCCATGTGGGGAGACACGAGGCTTGACTCCATTTTCTCAGAAGGCTGATTTATTATCTTATATATTATATTAAAATACTACATTAAAAACTATACTAAAAGAACAGAGATAAAAGAAATGATCAGAAGGCTACAAAGAACAAGAGTAGAATAGAATGCATAACAAAATCTTGTGACTGCTCACAGCCTCACAGGTGGCTGTGATTGGTCATCAAGTGAAAACAATCCACATAGGCCAATGGAAGATGCACCTGTTGCATTCCACAGCAGCAAATAGTTATTATTTACATTTCTTTCCTGTGGCTCTCAGCTCTCAGGAAGGAAAAAATCCTAGCAGAGGATTTTCCATAAAATATCATAGCTACAGATGTCATCTCCTGAGCCGGCTCCGCAGTGTTCGGGGTTGCTATGGAAACTCGTGGGTTGCTATGGAAACTCGTGCGTTGCTATGGAAACTGCTGTGAGCGGAAGAAGCACCACTCCCCCCACGGGCGGTGCCGTCTCGGCAGAAGGCTCTGCCCCCCCAGCCCGCCCCCAGGAGCGAGTGGGGATGGAGGGGGGCTGAGCTGCAGCGGCGGTGGCTGCCGAAGCCCTCCCCGCTCCTCCTTCGCTGGCTGGGAGTAGCCACAGAATCACAGGATTTCTAGGTTGGAAGGGACCTTTAAGATCATCGAGTCCAACCCATGTTCTAACACCTCAACTAGGTCATGGCACCAAGTGCCACATCCAGTCTTATTTTAAACACATCCAGGGATGGTGACTCCACCACCTCCCTGGGCAGATGATTCCAGTATTTGACCACTCTTTCTGTGAAAAACTTCCTCCTTAATTCTAGCCTGTATCTCCCTTGGCGCAGCTTGAGGCTGGGTCCTCTTGTTCTGTCTGTTGTTGCCCGGAAAAAGAGACCGGCCCCCAGCTCACCACAGCCACCCTTCAGGAAGTTGAAGAGAGTGATAAGGTCACCTCTGAGTCTCCTTTTCTCCAGGCTAAACAACCCCAGCTCCCTCAGTCGTTCCTCACAGGATTTGTGTTCCAAGCCCCTCACCAGCCTCGTTGCTCTCCTTTGGACACGCTCAAGCATCTCAACGTCCCTCCTAAACTGAGGGCCCCAGAACTGGACACAGCACTCAAGGTGTGGCCTCACCAGTGCCGAGCACAGGGCAAGAATGACCTCCCTGCTCCTGCTGGCCACACTGTTCCAGGGGCACGCTGCCCCCATCCCGCCCCAAAGTGCTCGGACGGGGGTGGCACCGCCGGGGCCGGCACCGACAGCACCGACAGCACCGCCGGGGCCGGCACCGCCGGGGCTGGCACCGACGGCACCGACAGCATCGCCGGGAGTGGCACCGACGGCACCGCCGAGGGTGGCACCGACGGCACCGACAGCACTGACCGCACCGCCGGGAGTGGCACAGACAGCACCGCCGGGGCCGGCACCGACAGCACCGGCAGGGGTGGAGGGGCTCCGCCTGCGCCTGCCACGAGCATGGCCGGGGCGTGCCCCGCTCTCAGATCGGGGCCGATGAGCTCCAACTCCGCCTCCTCCTCATCTTCACATCCACTGCTCAGTATCGACTGGTCCTTTTTAGTTTTCCCCTCTTTTTTCTTTAAAACCAGTATATGGTGTTCCTTTTTGTTTGCTGATGGGCTTTGCTGAGATGCTAGTACCATAAAAAGCCTAGCATATTCTAACTTGTCGAAATATTTGTCCTCCCATATGTGGGATATTAAACTTGATATTAATTTCTTACTGAAACTACCAAATTCAGGGCACGTCTCATCGTTGTCTAGTTCATACGTTGGCCACATCTTTTCTGAGAGCCTGATAAGTCTGGGTTTAAAAAGCAATGTCTTACCACCTGTTAGTTCGTGCCAGTTTTTCAATACTAACCCCAAAGGACGTTTCTTGGGATATTACTATTACAATCACAGGAGAATACAAACCCCATCTTAACACTTATGAGTAGGAAAGTCCACAGAGATGGAAAGAACCAGTGGGAGGTAAAGAGCAAGCAAGAACAAGTAAGAAGCAGGATTAGAGCTCAAAACCTTTGGAACCACAGTGCAGGAGCTAACACCACCCCTGGCCTCAGGCCAATACTCACCACTGTCATGCTAAAGCCATGCTTTTTCAGAGTCTCCTCTCTTACTCTAGTGGATGAGACAGAAAGTGAATGTAAAGCAACTCCACCTGGACCCCCAGGGTCCTTCCACACTAAGCAAAACTTCCAGAGATCTCCTGACACCCAGCTCAGGTGCTGAAACAGAATACCTCCTTTATTCAGTTACTCATGTGTCTCTGTGCCAGGCGCAAGGATTCTCAGGCTCTGATACCTTCAGTACCACAGCTGGGGCACCCTGGGGGTGTTGGCAAGAGTCAGGGGGGGCAGCTAAATGTACCTCTGGTCCAGGGGGTTTTCCAGATGCCTTCTGTCCCTTCACGGGGTGCCAGAACTGATGCCTATGAGAGGCTGACCTGGATCAGAGGCTAGACAGAGTGAAAGGAATAAAGCAGGTATTTATTAAAAGGCTTTTAAAGGATATACCTTGGGCAGTACAACAGCCTGGCTGGGGCTCTGCCCAAGACGGACACAAGATGGACCACCGGTCACGAGTCTTCACACTTTTATAAGTTTTTCACACTTTCATAAATAATGGTTTGGTAAATAACTATTTACATACTGGGGTTAGTTGTCCAGTTATAGCTTCAGGTTATGAAGTCCCATCCTCCTTGTTTGCTCCCTTCAATTCACTGTTGTTTATGGTTTTTGGGCCTGAGGCTGTAATAGTTGTCCTTGGCTACTCAAGCTGGAGAAGGATTGTTTTGTCTAACTATCCTGTGAAGAGAACTTACTAATAATTAATACAAAGTTCAGAGTTACACACCAAGGCAGTGCAGAATCTGAAAAATATGAAGGCTAAAACTTAGGGCATCACCCCCATGTCACTCTCCATGTCTGTATCCCCCCATGTCCCCACCTATGTCTGTCGCCCATGTCCCCATCTATTTCCATGTCTCCCCTTGTCCTCATCCATGTCATTGTCCTCCCATGCCCCCATCCATGCCTTCGTTCAATGTCTTTATTTTCACCCCAGTTTCAGGAGTTTCAAAGGGATGAACAGAAAGGAAAAGAAAATGAAGGCCAAAAGAAAAATATTTACATGTCCCTGTCAGCAGAGCATCCATGTCCTTGGGTGTAGAGGATTTTGTGGACAGTTAGCTAGCTGACAAAGGTCATGCTGGAATAATACCGTTAGTTAAACAAGAAGGAGACGAGGATAGGAGTCGGGAATCAGTGTCCAGATGCGGCAAGGTCACTGTGCCCTTGCTGCAACATGAGGTTGTGGGAGAGGTTCCTTAGCTAGGAAAATGAAGAAAAGATAAGAAAAGCCACAACAAAGTAGCCACAAGAATGTAAATATAGGCATAGTTAGCTGATAAACAACTAACCAATAATGAGCTCGCTTTTTGCAATATGCATTAGCCTTATTAACACTGTTATAAATATGTGTGCCTGTTCAATAAACTTTCGAGACTTGCTGATCACTCATATTGCACGCCGCATTTCTCCTGCCGATCTCAACACTTGGGTGGGTGGGAAGAACCTTTTTTGGAGGGATTTCCACCCCGCTGTGTCCAAAATTGTGGGTTTTTCCCCAGTCTCTCCCCACTGGGCTGTGAAAGACAGCCATGGGCCATAGAGGATGGATTTATGTTGGAGAAGACCTCCAAGACAATCCAGTGTTGCTTAATGCCACCAGATGATGCAAAAGGTGAGATTTTTCTGGGGTCAGATGTCAGCAAATCTGCTCTCCACAATGGATTTCTGATGTTGGTCTGTGGATGTGTCCAGGTGCCCATGGGGAAACAAGAGGACGTGGAGCCCCGCAGGCAGGTGACTTCCCAACAGGGATCACCGGCACCACGGATCACCCGGGGTCACTGGGAATCATCCAGCGAGGATCCTCCCATGGGGGATGGAGCTGGAGCAGCGCACGGAGCTCTTCCTGCATGTGGGGCACTCGCAGGGCTTCCTTTGTGGTGCCTCCGTTGGTGTTTGGTCAAGTGAGAGCTCTGTGAGAAGCTCTTCCCACACTGGGGACACTGGTAGGGCCTCTCCCGGGTGTGGACGAGCCGGTGCTTGATGAGGGTGCAATTACGGTTGAAAGCCTTCCCGCAGTCGGGGCAGCGAAAGGGCCGCTCATCTGTGTGCGAGCGCTGGTGCCTGACGAGAGTGGAGCTGATCTGAAACCTCTTCCTGCATTGATCACACTCGTAGGGTTTCTCCCCGGTGTGGCTCCTCTGGTGGACAATCAGCTTGGAGTGGTCTAAGAAGCTCTTCCCACACTCACCACACTCGTAGGGCCTCTCCCCCGTGTGGATTCTCCAGTGGCGCATCAGGTAGGATCTCTTGCTGAAGCTCTTCCCACATTCCGAGCACTTGTGGGGCTTCTCCCCATCCTGGAGCTGCTCATTGACCTCCAGCTCCAAGCTCCGGCCGCCTCCCCACCCCAGGGTGGGTCTTTCCTCCTCGGATCCCCGAGATCTGCGTTTGCAGCCACTCCTCGTGCGGGATCTCCGAGGATTTTCCTCCCCGTTGGATTCCTGTGCTGTGGAGCCGCTCAAAACGGCCTCTTCCACGAGGTTCTGCTGTGGGGATTTGTCCTGCCTGCTCTCCCTCCTCAGCTCCTTCCCTGGGGGAGGAAGGACAAGGAGAGGATGGGATTTGCCTCCGTGCCACAGGGAAGGGCAAGGAGACTTCCCTAATGCGTCCCTGGCAGGATGGTGTCGGCACTGAGGTTGTCCTGCATCTGGGGGCCATGCTGGGCTGGGAGATGGAGCAGGGGAGAGGGGGCAATGGGCAGTGACTTCCAGCTCACCTGCCTGGGGCTTCTGGGCCATTTTCCTCTTCCTCGCTGCCTCCTCCTCCTCCTCCATTGGGCCTAGATATAGGAATGGGAAATCCTGCTTTGGCGGGGAAAAAAAGGACTGAGAACGTTGGGTTTGATGGTCCCACTGCCCAAGTGCAGCTGGAGAAGTCAGCGCCCCTTTCAGCCTCGGGGTGCCTGGACCACACTCATGCCTAGCCTTCCTCACCCTGCCAGGCTGCCAGAGGTGCACCAGCTCTGAGATCGCCCCTCTGCGCTCTCCCCGCTCCGGGGCTCCCGCCTTCCCCCCGGCTCTCCCGGGATCCCCAAACCCGATATCGCTCCTCTGCTCGCCGGTACCGGGCGATCGCCAAGTGGGACCCCCAAGATCCCTCCAGGGGCATTTGTGGCTCAGCTCTGGGGTCCTGCACGATCCAAACATCCCCTGCCCCGCAAAAAAACCGTTCCGGAAACCCCCTCGATGGATTTGGGGCGAACTCTCCTTCCCCGCTCACCTGCGGGTTCTGGAGGGGGGCGATGCCGGCAGACTGGGGGAAGATGCGGCCTGAGCGGCCGTGCAGGGGAACCGCTTGGTTCTGCTGCTGCTGCTGCTTCTATTCCTCCAATTCCTGCTCTTCCTCCTCTCTTCCTCCTCTTCCTCCCGCTTCTGCTCCGCTCCCAGCCCGGCCCGGGCAGTGCCGACACACAAAAGCAGCCGCGCTCTGCCCCAGGGGGGCTCCCAAAGCGGCCCCGCCCAGCACGGCACTGGGAGCAATACTGGGAACACTGGGAGCGATCCTGAGAGCACCAGGAAAGAATTGGGAGCGCTTTCCCTGCCAGTCCCGCTCTTACTGGGAGCGCTGGGAGGGAACTGGGAGCGAACAGCGCCCGGACGGGGCTGCAGCCGGCGGCGGGCGGGGCCAATCCGAAAGGCGTGGTTATGTAAATACAGGAGAGAGCTCGCCCGCTGGGATTGGTGGGCTGGAGCAGTGCGGGGTTTGCTCGGTGACGTCACGACCGGGGGAGGGGCCGGAGCGATGGCGGCGGCGTCCGGTGAGAAGGGATAGGGAGCGGGAATGGGAATGGGGACAGGGAATGGGAATGGAGACAGGGAATGGGGACTGGGAATACGGGACCGGGAATACGGAATGGGACCGACAATTGATCGCGACCGGGAATGGCGAGCAGGACCGGAAATGGAACTGGAAATACGGGAAAGGGACCGGGAACGGGAGTGGGAATGGGACCGGGACAGGGATGGGAACGGGACAAGGGGGACATGGACACAAGGACGACACCGAATAGGAGGTACACGGATCAGGGGGTGGCACCAGTACGGGAGAGACAGCTGCGCAGGGGTGACACCGGGGATGGCAGGCGGGGACAGCGGGGACAGCGGGGATGGCAGGTGGGGACAGTGGGACCAGCAGCATGAGACACTGGGACAGCCGAGAGGTGGCACGGGGACTTAGGGACAGTGTGGACTGTGGGCATGGCAGCACAAAGGGCTGGGACAGCAGGGAGAGGGCACAGGGACACCGGGGAGGGAACATGAGGACATTGGGGAAGAGGTGCCAGGGACAGCAGGCAGGGGCCACAGGGACATGGGGACACTTTGTAAGGGACACTGGAGTGTCCTGGGACAAAACATTGCAGCATCACCATGGTGAGATAGAGACTGATGGCAGTGGTGGCCTTTGTCCCCAAGCATGGAGTGACACTGTTTTGGGGTGAAACATGGCAGTGTCACCGTGGTGGAACAGGGGCTGACGAGGGTGGTGGCCTTTGTCCCCAAGCTGATCCTGTTCAGGCTCAGCAACCAGCTGGTGGTGGCCTTCAAGGAGGACAACACGGTGGCCTTCAAGCACCTGTTCCTCAAAGGCTACGAGGATGGCACTAATGACACCCAGGCCATCTACACCCATGGGGACCTCCTGCAGCACCTGGCCTTTGTCCTCAAGAAGGTGGCATGGGGACACCAGGAAGGGCTGGGGGCACCAGGAGGGATTGGGGATATTGGGACCTCCTGCAGCTCCCAGTCTACGCCCTCGAGAAGGTGGCCTAGGGACACTGGAAGGGGTTGAAGACATCACGAGGGATGGGGACACCAGGCGAGGTTTGGGGACATGGGGATTATTTGGGGCCATCAAGGTGCCACCACCAGCACTGCACCCATGGGGACCTCCTGCAGCACCTGGCCTTTGTCCTCGAGAAGGTGGCATGGGGACACTGGGAAGAGCTGGGGACATCGTGGGAGTTGGGGACATTGTGGAGCTTGAGGACAAGGGGACCTCCTGGAGCATGTGGCCTATGCCCTTGAGAAGGGGGCACAGGGACACCAGGCAGGGCTGGGGACACTGGCAGGGGTTGGGGACACAGTGGTGGTTTGGGGACATGGAGGTTCTCAGGGCTATGGAGGTGACTGGGGACACCGGGGTGATTTGGGGACACTGAGGTACCACAGGGCCACCTCCAGCCCCATGTCCCTGTCCCTACAGTACCTGGCTGTCTCCAACAAGACTCTTGGCCACCACGTTTTGGGGAGACAGAGATGTTTTGGGGTCATGGAGATATTTGGGTAAATGGGGATTATTTGGGACCATCAAGGTGCCACCACCAGCGCTGCTGTCCCTGTCCCCACAGTACCTGGCTGTCCCCAATGAGACCTTGGGCCACCACACCTATGGCTGGGGACATGGAGATGTTTTGGCACTGTGGGGTGGTTTGGGGCCATCAGTATGGCTGGGGACACGGAGATGTTTTGGGGCCATGGGGTGGTTTGGGGCCATCAAGGTGCCCCAGGGCCACCTCCTGCCTTGGTGTCCCTGTAGGTGCAGGGTGCTGGGTTTGAGATCTGGGATTTGGTTTGGGGTTTGGCATTTGAGGTATAGGTTTTGGGATTTGGAAGTTGGGGTTGAGGTTGGGATTTGGGGTTTGGGATGGTCCCAAGGGGTTTGGGGTTTACAGTTTGACACTTGAGGTTTGGGATGGTCTCAGGGTGTTTGGGGTTTGCCATTCAGGCATTAGAATGGTCTCAGGGGATTTGGGAGGGTCCCAGGTGATTTGGGATTTGGGGTGTGGGATGGTCTCAGGGGATTTGGGGTGATCTCAGGGCCTTAGGGATGGTCCCAAGAGATTTGGGGTTAGGGTTTGGATTTGAGGTGCAGGGTTTGAGATGATCCCTGGGCATTTGGGATTTGGGATGGTCCCTGGGCATTTGGGAGCTGAGATTCGGGGTTTGGGATCTGGGAGTTGGGATTTGGGACCATGGGGTGGTTTGGGGCCATCAAGGTGCCCCAGGGCCACCTCCTGCCTTGGTGTCCCTGTCCCTGTAGTACCTGGCTGTCCCCAGTGGGACCCTGGGCCACTGTGCCTGTGGTGGCACCAGGGGTGGCACTGAGGGTGGCACCAGGCTCCTGCTGTGCCAGCGCTTCTTCCACAGGGGGGACATCGACCCCAGCGTTGTCACCGGTGGGGACACATGGGGTTTGAGGTTTGGGGTGCGAGTTTGGGATATGTGCTGGATTTGGGATTTGGGGTTTTGGTTTTGGGGTTTGAGAGTTGAGGTTTGGGTTTGGAGTTTGGGAGTTGTGGTTTGGGGTTTGAGATTTGGGTTTCGGAGTTGGGGTTTGGGTTTGTCCCAAGGGGTTTGGGGTTTAGAGTTTGGGAGTTGGGATGCTCCCAAGGGATTTGACATTTGGGGGTTTGGGATGGTCCCAGGGTGTTTGAAGGTTTGAGATTCAGGGTTTGGGATGGTCTCAGAGGATTTGGGATGGTCCCAAGAGGTTTGGGAGTTGAGATTTTGGGTTGGGATCGTTTGAGAGGGACGGTTTGGGATCGTCCCACTGCATGTGGGGGTTTGGGATTTGGATTTTGGGATGGTCCCAGGGCATTTGGGAGTTGAGATTCGGGGTTTGGGATTTGGGATGGTCCTGAAGCATTCAGAGTGGTCCCAGGGCATTTGGGATTCAGGATTTGGGAAGTCCCAGGGGCTTTGGGCTCCCGCCATTCCCTGACCCCAATCCCGACCCCACAGAGATCCTGGGAGTGCACCCTGGGGACCCCCAGCTGCAGGTGCTGGATGGCACTAATGGCAACTTCACCCTCCAATTCCACAGATAAATCCCAACCCCGCCCCCCAAATTCTTATGTCCCCCTTGTGTCCGTCTTGAGTGTCCCTCTGTCCCTCATCTGTCCCTTGGCTGTCCCCCAATCCCTCTGCAGGCCCTGGGGGGCAGCCAGTGAGTGCTGTGATAGTAACAGTGACAATGACAGTGATGGTGACAGTGACAATAATAATGCCAGTGACAATGACAGTGATGGTGACAGTGACAATAACAGTGCCAGTAACAGTGCCAGTGATGGTGACAGTGCCAGTGACAATGACAGTGATGGTGACAGTGACAATAACATTGCCCAGTAACAGTGATGGTGACAGTGACACTGACAATGACAGTGCCAGTGACAGTGCCAGTGGCGGTGACAATGATAGTGACAATGCCAATGCCAGTGCCACCCAGTGTCCCCAGGTCACGTTTGACACCCACGCCCACAGTGGGCGAGTGTGGATACACCTGGAGAGCCTCATGTCCATCCGGGAGTGCCACCACCCCCTGCTGCCCAGCAGAGGTGACACGGGTGACAGTGGCTGACAGGACAGGTGGACGGGGTGCCAGGAGAACATGGGGACAGGGGGACAGGTGCCCCACCACCCCCGTGCCCCAGGCGCAGGTGGGACCGCAGGCATTTCTGTCGTGCCCTGACCGTGCCTCCCCTCCCCTCCCTGCTCCCCCCACACCTTGGGGACACCCCTGACTCCCACCCTGACATCCTGGGTGCCCCTCAGTGGGGACGGGGAGGGGTTGGTGGCACTGCAGGAACCCCTCTCTGTGCCATCCACGAGGTGGCACCTGCGCTTTTTGTCACCACCGTCCACCAGTGCCCCAAAGCGGGGGGGGGCACACATCCTGGGGGGGGTGAGGGGTGACAAAATTTTTGGGGTCACCCCCTGCCACTTCCACCTCCCCGAATCCCCCCAGGGATGCTGCACAACCCCGCCTCCCACGCACTACCTCGGCGGCAGCATCCCCTGAAGGGATGGAAGGGTCACGTTCCTGCTGAGGGGTCTTTGGGGACTGTCCCCGTGTCCCCCTCCCGTCCCCGCAGTACCTACACTGCTGTGCCCATGCCTGGCCCTGTTTCGTGGCTTCCCCATGACGGGGATAAGTTTCAGTCACACCCTCACCTCCTTCTCCTCCTCTGGGTTTGATGTCAGTTCTGCCGCTGGGGACGTGCCTGTGACACCAGGGGGACGCCACGGGTCACCCCCCTCCAAGTGACTGCAGGGTCACAGTGGCTCCTGAAGGCCCCCTGATGTGACAGCTGGGGGTCCCAGGATGCTGTGATGACGATTTGGGGGGTGGGTGCTTCCAGGGTGCTGAGCACCGAGGCCATGTGGTGCAGGGGGGACAGTTGGGGACACAGGTGGGGGAAAGCCTGGGGGGACAGGGTGAGGAGGGTCAGAGGGGTAAGGGGTGGAGATGGAGCTGGAGGGGGGGGATCCACCCAACAATGTGCCAAAAGCAAGGGGAGGACTCCTAAATCTGGGGGAAAGAATGGAAAAGAGAGAAAGCATCCGAATCAGGGGGGAAAGGATGCAAAGTAGGGGGTAAGGGACCCAAAAGAGGGGGAAATGATCCAAAAGAGGGAGAAAGGACCCAAAATGTGGGGGGGGAGGACCAAAAATCAGAGGACAAAGGATAACTTGGTGTGTCACAGGGTATCAATGGGTGTCATGGCACATCCCTTCCTGTGCTGGAGCTGGCCCACACACTCTGTGCCAGGAGCAGCCACAGGAACATCCTGAGCAACACAGTGACACCTCCAGGGACATGGGGACACTCTGCAGGACACGGCCAGGGACCAGCCAGGATCGGGAACAGGGACTCACAGGGGGGACAGGAAGACACAGAGGGGTGACATGTAGCCGTGGCAGGGGATGGGGGATATTTGGAGGGGAGGGGATCTGATGCCACCAGGACACACATGAGGGGACAATGTTGCCACACCTGTGCAGACACTGCCACCAGGATGCCTCTGGTGACAGGACATGACCCCCATGGTGACACTGACTCTTGTCCCCAGGGGCAGTTGGGGTCCCCTGAGTGCTGTGGCCCTGGGACACCCTGGTGGCTGTCACTTGCTTCCAGGCCACTTGTCACCAGCTGAACAAGGTCTCTGTCCCGCCCTGCTGGGTGGTGACATTCGGCTGGGACACCGCGCTGGTGAAACGTCCCTATTCATATCCATGTATCCCTATGTCCCCATTCATGTCCATATCCCCATCCATGTCATTGTCCCCCAAATGTCCCCATCCATGCCCATTTTTACCCCAGTTTCAGGAGTTTCAAAGGGATGAACAGAAACTTTTTCATTTCAAGGCCAAAACAAAATTATTTATGTGTCCCTGACAACAAAGCATCCATGTGCTTGGGTGGGTAGGAAGAACCTTTCTGGAGGGGTTTCCACCCTACTGTATCCAAAATCAGAGGTTTTTCCCAAATTCATCCCTGTTTGGCTGTAGAAGATGCCTGTGGGTCAGGGACAATTAAATGATGGATTTATGTTGCAGAAGACCTGCAAGGCCATCCAGTGTTGTTTGATGCCACCAGAAGCAGCAAAAGGAGATTCTTCTGGGGTCACAAATCGACAAATCCGCTCTCCACAATGAATTTCTAGTGTTGGGCTGTGGATGTGTGCAGGTGCCCATGGGGAGCTAGAAGGATGTGGAGCCCCTCAGGCAGGTGTCTTCCCAGCAGGGATCACTGACACCATGGACCACCGAGGCTCTGCCCACTGGGGTCACTGGGGATCAGAACCAATACTCCCACGGGGGATGGAGCTGGAGCAGCACACGAAGCTGTTCCCACACTTGGGGCACTCACAGGGCTTTCATAGTGGTGCCTCCATTCGTGTTGGCTCAAGGCTGACCTCTGGCTGAAGCTCTTCCCACAGTGGGGACACTCGTAGGGCCTCTCCCCAGTGTGGATGTGCTGGTGGGTGACAAGGGTGGAGTTGTGCTTGAAGCCCTTCCCACAGTCAGGGCAGCGGAAGGGCCTCTCATCCGTGTGAATCCGCTGATGTACGAGGAGATCTGAGCTGCTTTGAAACCTCTTCCCACACTCCCCACACTCGTAGGGCCGCTCCCCGGTGTGGCTCCTCTGGTGGATCATCAGGTGATCGTTCCGGCTGTAGCTCTTCCCACACTCGGGACACTCGTAAGGCCGCTCCCCTGTGTGGATCCTCTGGTGAAGCATCAGTTCAGAGCTCTGGCTGAATCTCTTCCCACAATGCCCACATTCGTAGGGCTTCTCACCAGTGTGGGTCCTCTTGTGGACAATCAGGTTCGACTTCTGGGTGAATCTCTTCCCACACTCCCCACACTCGTAGGGCCTCTCCCCGGTGTGGATGCGCCGGTGCTTGACGAGGTCGGAGTTGTATTTGAAGCCCTTCATGCAGTCAGGGCAGCGGAAGGGCCTCTCGTCTGTGTGAATACGCTGGTGGACGAGCAGATGGCAGCTTGTTTGAAACCTCTTCCCACATTTGGGACACTCATAGGGCCTCTCATCTGTGTGTGTCCGCTGATGCTTCAGAAGAGTGGAGCTTCTCTGAAAGCTCTTCCCACATTCCCCACACTCATATGGCCTTTCCCCCGTGTGGCTCCTCTGGTGGTTGATCAGGTCAAAGGTGTCTCTGCAGCTCTTCCCACACTCCCCACACTCGTAGCGCCTTTCTCCAGTGTGGATCCTTCGGTGGCGGATCAGGGCTGAGTTTCGGCTGAAGCACTTCCAACATTCCCCACACCTGTAGGGCTTCTCCCCATTGTGAACCTGCTCATGGACCCCTGGCTCCGAGCTCTGGCCGCCGTCACGGCCCAGGGTGGGTATTTCCTCCTCTGACCTCCCTGGGCTGCGTTTGCAGCCCCTCCTCGTGCGGGATCTCCGGGGATTTTCCTCCCCATTGGATTCCAGTGCCGTGGAGCCACTCAAAACAGCCTCTTCCGTGAGATTCTGCTGTGGTGACTCATCCTCCCTGGTCTCCGCCCTCAGCTCCTGGTCTGGGGGAGGAAGGACAAGGAGAGGATGGGATTTGCCTCCGTGCCACAGGGAAGGGCAAGGAGATCCCCCCAAAGTGTGCTTGGCAGGACAGGGTCAGCAGCGGGCTTGTCCTGCAGCCAGGGGCCCATGCTGGGATGGGAGAAGGAGCAGGAGAGAGGGGGAAAGGGACAGCGAGTTCCTCCTTACCTGCCTGGGGCTCCTGGGCCATTTTCCTCTTCCTCCCAGTCTCCTCTTCCTCTATCCGGCTAAGGTTTAGGAACGGAAAATCCTGCTTTTTGGGGGGTGGGGGGGAACAAGGGCTGATTGTGCTGGGTTTGATGGTGCCGCTGCCCAGGTGCAGCTGGAGAAGTCAGCGCCCCTTTCAGCCTCCACGTGTCCGGACCCCGCTCATCCCGAGCCTCCTTCCACCCTCCAGGCTACTGGGGCGCCCCAGCTGTGTGATCGCCCCTCTGCGCTCCCCGCTCCGGGGCTCCCGCCTTCCCCCCGGCTCTGCCTGGGATCCCCAAACCCGATATCGCCCCTGTGCCCGCAGGGCATGTGGGAACCCCCAAGGGTTAATTGTGGCTCAGCTCTGGGGTCCTTGGAGACCCAAATATCCCTTGCCCCACCAAAAATCCCTCCCGGAGACCCCCCTCGATGGATTTGGGGCGAGCTCCCCCTCCCCGCTCACCTGCGGGTTCCGGGGGGCGATGCAGCAGGAGCCGGGGGAGCCGCGACCGGAGCGGGGGAGCCGCGTGGTGTTGGTGCTGCTGCTGCTGCTGCGCTTCCTCTTCCGTCTCTTTCTCCAGTTCCGGCTCCTATTCTTCCCTTTCCTCTTTCTCTGTCCCGCCTCTTCCTCCCGCTCCTGCTCCGCTCCCAGCCCGGCCCGGGCGGTGCCGACACCCAAAAGCAGCCGCGATCTGCCCTGGGGGCTTCGCAAAGCGGCCCCGCCCAGCGCGGCACTGGGAGCGATACTGGGAGCACCAGGAGGGATCCTGAGAGCAGCGGGAAAGAATTGGGAGCGCTTTCCCTGCCAGTGCCGCTCTTACTGGGAGCGCTGGGAGGGAACTGGGAGCGAACAGCGCCCGGACGGGGCTGCAGCCGGCGGCGGGCGGGGCCAATCCGAAAGGCGTGGTTATGCAAATAAGGGAGCGATCGCGCACTGGGATTGGTGGGCGGGAGCAGCGCGGGGTTTGCTCGGTGACGTCAGGGTTGTGGGGGGGCCGGAGCGATGGCGGCGGCGTCCGGTGAGAGGGGACAGGGAGCGGGAATGGGGACAGGGAATGGAGACTGGGAATACGGGACCGAGACCTGGAATGGGACTGGGAATACGGGAAAAGGGACCGGGAACGGGAGTGGGAATGGGACGGGGACGGGAACCGGGCGAGAGGGACACGGGGAACAGGAGCATCGGGAACCGGGCTGGGGGGGCCGGGGACTGGAGCGACACTGCGGCGAGGGGACACCGGGGACCGGGCCGGGGGAGTTAACGGCTGCAGGGGACGCTGTGCACCTGCACTGCGGGCAGGGGGGACAGCGAGCAGGGGAGACACCAGAACGGGGTGGGGGGGACACGGGGCAGGGGTGACACCGGGGACAGGGAGTCCTGAGCGGGGGTTTAACGGAGACAGGCGACACTGTGGACTGGGCGGCGGGGACAACGGAAGAGAGGAGTGACACCAGACCGAGGGGGACACGGACCGGGGGGTGACACCGGGACAGGGGTGATCCCGGGACATGGGGGTGACACCGAACAGCGGGGACACGGATCAGGGGTGACACCGAGCAAGGGGGACACCAGGCCGAGGTGACACCGGTGGGTGTCCCCAGAGACCGAGTGGCTGCTGAGTCGTGGTACAGCACGGCCGAGGCGGCTTCGGCCGTGGAGGAGGAGCTGTGGTGCTGCCTCAAATAATTCCTCTTGAGCCTCTGTGACACCGGGCCCGTGAAACTCCCGCTGGAGCTCGCCAAGATCATCCTTGTCACCGTGCAGGTGACACTGCCAGGGACAGCGAGCTGGGACAGTGGGGATGGCAGGAGAGGACACTGGGGACGGCAGCACAAGAGGCTGGGATACCAGGAAGGGAGCACTGGGACATGGGGACATGGGGACACTTTGACAGGGATGCTGGGGTGTCCTGGGACAAAGCATTGGCAGCATCACCATGGTGAGAAAGGGGCTGATGACAGTGGTGGTCTTTGTCCCAAACCATAGGGTGACACTGTTTTGGGGTGAAACACGGTGGTGTCACCAGGGTGGGACAGGGCCTGACCACGTAGGACTTTGTTCCCAAGCATGGGGTGGCACCATTTTGTGACAAAACACACCAGTGTCACCATGACAGAACAGGTGGTGACAGAGGTGGTGGCCTTTGTCCCCAAGCTGTGACACAATTTTGGGACAAAACACACCAGTGTCACCATGATGGGACAGGTCACCCCCCCCAAATTCTTGATAATCCCACTTATGGGTGTTTCCCATCCCTAAAATCCCAGTGTGGGATTTGTGTTCACTTTTCCCAGATTTCTGTGTGGCATTTTGGGGTGGAATTTTCCCTTTCCCGTGGTTATTTTTGGGATTTTGGGAACTCCTGGGATCTTTCTGGGAGGGATTTCAGGTGGAATTTTCCATTCCCATTGGGTTTTTGAGGAGGAATTTTTCCTTTTCCCATTGTTTACTTGGGATTTTGGGGTGGATTTTTCTTTTTTTGGGGGGCTTTTGGGGTGGAAATTTTCCTTTTCCTGGTGGGTTTTTTTTTGGTTCTTTGAGATTTCCTGGGGTTTTTTTTTGTTTTTTTTTTTGGGGCCTCCTGGGTGTCACAATCCGCTCATACGAATGGGGGTTGTGACAGTTCGTTATCTGATCTCAGAGTACAAAAAACAACACGGAGAGTTTCAGTATCAATCAAAAAACCTGCACCTTTTAGTGAGCGCTCCCACAGCAAATGCAATAGAGGGATTTAGACAGGAGATTAAGGATAAAGAGAGAGAGAGAAAGGGGAAAAGGTTTTGCTACCAACCTAGGGACAAAATCCTCCATGGCACGGGGAGAATTGTCTCGTCAGGGAGAATCTCAAAAGTCCTGGTTAACTCAGGGGTCTATTATAGTCCTTTGCATGAGGGGGGAGCTGGTAACAAAGAATAAGTCTGTTGAAATTGCTGAGGGGGAACAGATAGAGTGAAGAAAAAGGGTATTGAAGCCATCAAGGGGGGAACATCAGGACACTTGTGGCAGCTGGTGACCACCCAAAAAGAGCATCCCACCACCTGTGGTCAGCATCTTTCTTTACTCTTTCCATGACACGGTGTATTTGTCTCACATTGTGATGAACAGTTACCAGGGTTTTCTGTCTGTTCTTGATCTTTCCCAAAATTTCGATTAAGTCTTGATGGAGCAACAATTGCCTTCCCAAAGTGAGGTTCATCCCAATGGGAATAGGCATCAGTTTGTGAATCAGCGTGTAGTTGGATTGTAAAAGGTAATGAGAGGTAACTGGAACTTCATAAGAAAAATCACATCCTGCAATCTTAGTAAAGTTACAAGCACAAAAATTTGAATGATTTTTAGTATCCACTACTACATTTTCTATGAATACAATATCATAAGCAGCTCTAAAGCATGCACACCCATTGCCTATGTATATAGGGACTGTTTTAGAAGTCTCGTTAGGATGAATTTCAAAGTGACAGATATTTTGCTCTGTGTCCAAACAAATGTCTTGAGCTATGATTGCACTGCTTTCACAGATGAACCTTTGTTGTTCTCAGACAATACAAGATTCCAAATTAACAGTTTGCCATTTTTCACCAATTTGACAGGCCCGTTCCCTATGCTTGGAAGGATAGAGAAGAGGTCCATCATGATTCAGCCCTAATGCAATAATAGGAAATATCAAATGCACTGAGGCATTACGTATGGTTAACACAAAAGCTGTGGCTGAGTTTGAAATGGGGTCATAAGTAAAATTCACCAAGTTCCACCAGGATTGGAATTCTCTTTCAAAATCTCTGTCCCAAATTATTTTCCGAATTTCAGTAGGAAAAGTGCCTTCTTCACCTTCTTTTATAATTGAGGCAGCAACTGTTTCCATCCACAGTTGTGCCTAGATACAGCTGAGAGCCAAAGAAATGTGGTTTTGTGTAGCACTGAGTGCATCAATTACCAGTTTGTGATCATTTACATTTACCTTCTCCCAGTTTGGTAAAATGTTTGATAGCAGCTACTGGTGTGTTCCCAAAGCCAATAAGGATGACTGCAGTGGTTGTTGTAATTTGGTCAAATCTTTAGTTGTGACAGCCAGTTTATTCATTAGTACTTCTGAATCAATACTATTTAGAATTCCCAAACCTGTTGCCACAAGACTGGTTATGTCTCTTGGCGTCTGTTTTTTAGAAGAGCTCCATTTTCGCAGCCAGGTCGTCCAGCCCTCAAAGGAAGTCTGCAAGAAAGGCGAACAGGCCAGCTGAATTTCTGATACATTGTTTTGCATCAGCAATTGGACTTGTTTAGGAGACCGTGCCAGATTGAACAATATTTGTTGTTGACCAGTTTTCCTGATTATATATGGCCCAATTTCAAAAATTCTTGGGCAGAGCATGACCGGTGATTGGGCTGTAGTGGTGATAGTAGAAAACTGGGTCATAGTATTTATTACAAATTTGAAAGAAAGGCCTTTTTTGAACCAAAGACAAACTACTTCTGCGGTGTGTGTTAATGTAAAACTGTGCCAACAGTCTTGTACGCTTGGGTGGTACAAAGCTGTTCATGCTTATTTGCCTGATCTGTTGAAAGACTGATTGAGATTGC